GAGGGAACACAAGCAGGGAGAGTGGGAGAGGGAGAAGCAGGCTTCCCGCCGAGCAGGGAGCCCGATGCGGGGCTCGATCCCAGGACCCTGGGATCACGACCAGAGCCAAAGGCAGACACCCAATGACTGAACTACCCAGGCACCCCTAGATTAATTTAAATATCATTTCAAGTAATGTTTGTTTGAGGTGAACAAATTAATTTTTTGAGTTGAAATAAAATGCTGGCATTTGCGATATTTGTGATATTATGTAGGTTTCTATAGAAGAGATTTTGTGGTTAAAAAATCATTGAAGTTCAGTTAAACTCTTCAGACCTGTTTCTTTAAAAATGTTTTTGCAGGGGTGCCTGGGTGGCTTAGTCGGTTGGGCGTCTGCCTTTGGCTCAGATCATGATCCCAGGGTCCTGGGATTGAGCCCTGTGTCAGGGTCCCTGCTCAGTGGAGAGCCTGTTTCTCTCTCTCCCTCTACTGCTCCCCCTGCTTGTGTGCTCTCTCTCTCTCGCTCTCTCTCTCTCTGTAAAATAGATAAATAAAATCTTTTTTAAAAGTTTTGCCGTTCACGATTTTCATTGAGCTAAACAGGGCTTCCTCTTGCTTAGTCTGAATTAAAGAGGTTTGGAAAGTATGAATGACTTTGAGATTTATCTGCTATGTGAATGATCCATGCCCATGCTCTCTCCTAAATAATCAGGATTTGGCAGTAAAATGTTTTGCCTCCATTTATTATTCTTTTCTTTGAATTAAATGACACTTTGTGTTTGTCTTGAGACAAACAATATGTGTTTCTTAAATAGTTACATTTCTAAATGATGATGACTTGGAAAATAATAGATGCCTAGGCCAGTGCAAGTGAAATGAATGGGTAATTTGTGAATCTAATATTTTGGAAAATTATTTTAAAGCCAGACTTTGAAATAACTGAAATATGCAAAATCTGATGGAATTTTTTGGTAGAACTTACTTTCTTAACTTCTTTACCTATGAAATGAAGGCCATCATAAGTGACTTTTAACAGAGTTTTGTGAAATTCTTCAGCTGTCCGAGTTTGCTTTGTCTCTGCTTCAGTGTCCTGCTTGTGGCCTCCCAGTAGACGCTCTGCAAACTGTACTAGTAAGAAGGGAAATGTAGGGCCTCAATCTGCCTGCACTTAAGGGATGTTATTCCCCTCTCCCTCGGGGGTGCTTGCATTTTAATTTTGACTCTTTTCAAGACTGAAAAGAATGACTCAAATCATGGACCCAGGAGCAGCTAAGTGAGGATGATATGTAAGGGGAAGCGAATTTCCAGGGGCACTCAATTAAACCAAACAATTCTACTTGGTGGGAATTTTCCCAAGACTGACATTAGGCAATGTCATCAACACCAACACCTTTTTGAAATTATAGACATAATCTTTAGAATTTCATGACTACCGCTTGAGGTTAAAAAGAGAAAAAACATTTTGCTCTTTCATGGTGAATAAATCAGCTGGAAGGAATATGTAACACAGTCAATAACAGCTAATTTATAAGTAGAGCACTGAATTTTGTTTCTGTGCTTCTTATCTGTGACCTCAGGTGAAGTGGAAGGTGATACATACATGATAAGAATTTTGCATGATATCATCTAATATTTGGGATGTAATATCAGACATGAGTCACACTCTTGCACTTTTCCCCTTTTAAAATATAATTGATGATTACAGCTTTGTAATAGACCTTGAAGTCCAGAATTGTGATGCCGCCAGCTTTTCTTTTCTTTTTCAACATTCCTCTGGCTATTTGGGGTCTTTTCTGGTTCCATACAAATGTTAGGATTATTTGTTCCATCTCTTTGAAAAAAGTGGATGATATTTTGATAGGGATTGCATTAAATGCATAGATTGCTCTAGGTAGCATTGACGTTTTCACAATATTTATTCTTCCAATCCATGAGCATAGAAGGTTTTTCCATTTCTTTGTGTCTTCCTTAATTTCTTTCATGAGTATTTTATAGTTTTCTGAGTACAGATTCTTTGCCTCTTTGGTTAGATTTATTCCTAGGTATCTTATGGTTTTGGGTGCAA